TTTTGCATTTTGCTTCGGGGGCGCTGCCCCTCGACCCCGCCTAGGCGCTGCCTCGGACCAGCCAAAGGGGCGCTGCCCCTTGGACCCCCACGAGCTGACCGGGCAGCTCGATCCCCGTCCTAATCAGCGAAGTGGCAATCTTGAAAGAATTAACATCACAAACTTCTCTGCAAGGCACAACTCGGGTTGGATTCGCATCTAAAAACTCATAGCCTCACTGAAATAAAAAGTGCGAAAACAAGTACAACTGAAATGAGTTTTGTCAAACGGGATTGCCAAGAATAAAAACCTAATAGTGCCTTTAAAGTACCCCAACCTAGCCAATGGTAAGGCAACTTTTGTAGCATTTTTGGTGCATTGTTCAACTATTGTAATGCTTATTTTTGATCAATGAAAAGTTCATTTCGCCTTTAGATTATGCAAAGCTTTTCTATTGTTGCTTGCTTTAATTTTAGCTTGTTGCTTGCTAATTTGTGGCTTGTCTCCAACCTAGTGGCTCATAAGCTAATTTGCTTGTCTTTGCAAACCCTTTGAGCTTAATTGGTGGGCTAGTGAAGAGAGTTAACTAGCACCACACACACTTGCTTGACAAGGCTTCCGCATAGCCGGTGTGTGACGCTGGGTTGTTGTGTTGAGTTATATAAACTGATGCTTTTTTGTTAATTGTATTTTCAGAGAGGTTGTTGGGACATATTCAGCAGAAGTGAGGAAGTTAAGCTTGAGGATTTTGGATTTGATTTGTGAAGGATTGGGAGTTGAAGCGGGTTATTTTGCAGATGAATTGAGCAAGATCCAGGGACTAGTGGCTAATCATTACCCGTCATGTCCAAACCCAAGTTTGGTCTTGGGACTTGGTGGACACTGTGACCCCAACCTCTTAACCATTCAGCAGGATGTGTATGGGCTTCAGATCTTCAAGGGTGAGCAATGGGTCGGTGTTGAATCTCTCCCTCATGCATTTGTTATCAACATAGCTAACCAGCTAGAGGTATATCTCCACCCCTCGTCCTCATAAAATTCCCGGACACTTGCAGACTAGAAGTCTTTAACTAAATGAAAACTCTGTTTGGCTTGGATGTAGATGACCAGCAATGGGAAGCTAAAAAGTGCTAAACATCGAGCAGTGACAAACTCAAGCATTGCTAGGACGTCCATAGTCACTTTTATTTCTCCATCTAGAGAATGCGTCATAGAACCTGCAAAAGCACTTGTTAGCGTATGCAGTCCCCCGCTGTTCAAAGCTGTTCAATATAAGGAGTTCAGTGACACTTACATGGCCAAGACTCATGATCCTAACAGTACAGCAGTGGAGTCCTACAAGTTCCAAGCTTAAGTTATGTTGTGTTGAAGGAAAATGCAGATCAAATAACACAAGCCATACGCGGTTTGCTATAATAAATTAAACTGCTTGGTTACATTCTTAAAATAAAACACAATTCAGTTTGGTGAAGCAGCTCAATCCAATTAATTCCCATTCAAGAGGGCTTCAATTGCTATGAGGTTTGACAGAGTAAAGTATATCTTTTTCCTTTGTGAATTTTGTCTTAGTTGTACAATGTGTTTTTAATATCAATTTCAATTCAGATAATTGGTTGGTTTTTTTAGTTTTGACCAAGTGATATATCACGAAAGTCTAGTGCCATAGAAAATTTTCAAAAAATAGATCACAAAACAGCATCATCTCCACAACCCTTTCACCAAATCTACATAAAATCAAGGGAGACTCAAATTTTTCATCAAATCAGCCAATACCAAACCATTCATCAAATCTCCTACAGTCCTATTTATGCCCTTATCTTCACAGCACACGGCAGTGACACAGAGCCAGCAGTCGGGCATAGTGGTTTGTGGTCAATTGTGGTGGCTCGTAGTGGTCACACATGGTGTAAGTGGGCCACCATGGTAGCTTGATTGTGCTAGATCGTGTTTGAAATTGTGTGGACTGAGTTGAGAGAGAGATGTGCAACATTGTGCAATAATAGAGAGTGGTGGTGATTTGGTTCCAGTGGGAGGAGAGGGAGATGGTGGAAGTAGAGGTGTTGGTGGTGAGTTTGGTTTTTTCCTTTTTTTTTAAAAAAAAAAGTTCGATGAAAATTTTGATTTTCATTATTAGAGTGAGTTATATCAAATCATGCTTTTGCTATGAAAGCGTTGGGGGCTGGACTTCATGATGAAGTTGCCTACGTATCCCAAACATGGGAATCAAGCCTTACGTAGTTCCGGTTAAGGTACACTCGGGTATTTTAACCTTCACTTTTCAGGCTCTAACTTTTGCCAAGGCGCCCGATGCGGGTTTTCGACCTTGCGAGCTTCTTTTTATTCATTTTATTTTGTTCATTTCTTTTTCTTTTCTTTTCTGCATTTTTTTTCTTTTCTTTTCTTCTTTTGTATTTTTGTATTTTTTGCTTTTTTGTATTTTTCTCTTGCTCTAAATTTTGCCTGGGTCACCCTTCCAGGTTTTCGGCCCAGCGAGCCTCTCAAAGGGTAAAAGTGTAACAAGTCCATGCCAAACGGTTTTTTTTTTGAAGTTGAAGCCTCTCTGTGTCTAGGAGAATGGCTGTTGCACTGATTTGCGAAAGAACCCATCATGGTTGTTCCACGAGCTTCTTCTGATGAGATCTAATCCTTTGGTTCAATTTCGGCGCCTCTTGGTCGAGGGCTGCTTCAAAACTGGCCACACGGGCCTCCTTTGACAGTTGACTGTGGAATGTTCCGAATGAGTTCGAGGTTCGAGACAACAGGTCAAATCTTGAGGTTGAGAGCGATCCTAGGTTGCATAATCTCAAGAGTGATTCCACAGGTCTTCACAGGGCCGTGTAAAACATTTGTTTTTGAAAGTTTTTAAGAAAGTGACAAATCGCTCGTGCCAAAGATAGTGTGGAACCAATCTGGATCAGGCCAGGATCCTTCTTAGTACTCACGCTGACAAGCATGATTTCATTCATTAAGGGCTTAGCACTCCTCTCTTTTTCTCAAAATGATCAAAATTTTGCAAAACCCGAGGAATTCCTTCCTCTTCGTTTTTATCACCGCAGTGCTCGAAAGAGGTTTTTGAAAAACTTAGGTTAATGCAATGAGCTTGGCGCGCAGGAGAGCAGGCGAGATGTACTGTCAGCCCATTCAAATCCTCTGGCACTTATACTGAAAGTAGGCATGAAAGTGAGATAGCAACAGCTGTTTCATTCAGATTTGTTGGTGTAACTGGCCCCTCGGCAGAAACAGACTGAAAAACAAAAACAGGTAATTACAAGACAAAACAGTGTTCGGGACAACAACCCCAGAATCACCTGTTATTCTATACAAAGGGGACCGACTCGCTACAACAAGACAGACCTTTAAGCAAAAAGACTGACTCAAGTCAAAGAGACAGACTCAAAACAAAAGACTGACTCGATACCCAAGCCAGGATTTACAAAGATAGCGTTCACAGATGCTCAAAATGCGTGCCAGACACTATATTCAAAATATACCAGATGCCGCTCGCAGGTGGTTCACGTTCTGATCACATACTTGCAGTATCCTCAAAGTCCAACAGCTTGGTGGTAACAGACTTCGCTGAGGTGGGTGGGAGGATAACCTCATTGTCAATCAAATCTTGCACCTCATGACGGAGGCGGAAGCAATTGTCAGTAGCATGGCCTGTCTGCTGGTGGTACGCGCAGTACTGAGCGGCATCATGTGTAGCAGGGAGATTCTTCGGGAGGGGTCGAGGCTCCAAGGGTTTAAGGTGTCCCCTCTCGGCAAGGATCTGAAGTGCCTTGGACAGAGGCATGTAGAGAGCATGAAAGGTCCTGCGCCCCCGGGGCAGGTACTTCAGAGTCTGGGCGCTCTTACTAGCCGCACAAGCAAAAGGGTCGGCAGGCGCCACCTTGGCTTTCTGATCTTTCCCGGGTGCAGGGGCGGGAATAGGAGGAACTGTTCTGGCATGACGGGGCCTATCCCGATTTTCTGACAGACTCGAACTACCCTCAGGCGGAGTGCGGAAAGCATCCTCCACAGTTTTTGCCACGACTGCGGATATCTGTTGCTTGTTCATCCCCCCGGCTTTCAAAGCCTCGACTGCCCACAGCAGTTGTTCAATGGGATCGGCATCTGCCTTCATTTTGTCTTTTCCTCTGGCCTCAGCCTGATCGAGGATTTGAGTTGATGTTGATATGTCATTGCCATAGCTAGAGGCCATCTCCGGTTGGCTAAGTTCAATCACAATTCGCCCCAACAACGGGGGCTCCTGGGGTACAAAACTCCCGGCATACGGTGCGGCTGGAGGTGAAGCTGGCATTCCGTAGGCGAGATCCGCCACAGACCTCTGGAGATCACCTATCATCCCCATTAGCTCAAATGTAGTAGGCTCGCGAGCCTAATATAGCTGGGGGGCCCAGACCGGGTGCGCAACAGGCGACCTGGTTGGATGTGGCATATCAACATGGGTTTCACTTTGCAGAGTGATTCCTTGCTCTAATGCAGCTGTTATAACCACGATCTCTTCTGAATTTTGCGTCATCATAAGCCCTGCCTCGGCGAGGGAGAGCACTAGCTATTCTGTACCAGCTGTCCGAACTGAAAGAGACAACAAACAGCATTTCAGCCCAAACAGATCAAACACGGGTGCA